TCTCCAGGCTATTTCTCACTAGCCTGGAGGCTCCATCTAATTTCCTTTGTTAATGGCTCCTTAGGAGTTCTGGTAGCGTAGTACCCAAGGCACTTGACTGCTAACCAGAAGGCTGGCGGCTCAAACTCACCAGCTATTCCTTGGAAGGAAGGTTGGGCAATCTACTTCCATAGTGATACTGCCTCGGAAACCCATCGAGGGATTGCTACGAGTCAGGTCCGACTTGACAGCAGTGAGTTTGGTTTTGGTTAGTTGCTCCTTATTCTCTAACAGACTGAATTTCTCTAGGCCCAATCCTGGACCCTATTTCAATTATCATATCTACCCACTCTCCATAAATAATTTCATCTACAACTTGAAACACATTTCTCAAAATGACTCTTGGAATAAGATATCCTACAGGCTACTCAAACAGAATTCTTTTCCCTCTTAATTTATTCCTCCTCCAGTCTCTCCCATCTCAAGCAACAGCACCATCATCTTTTCATTTACTTAGTTCCAAAACCTAGAGTCAGCTTCCCTCTCTCTTCCACATCCAATCCATCCCATATCCAATGATACTTTAATCAAGTTTTAAATCCAGTAGGGATTTTCTATATATATAGAAAACTATTCCCAAAGGGGATTACTTCCACAGGTACAGGGGTTAGGATTCTGACATGTATTTGGAGAGGGACACAATTCAGTCCATAACAGCTTCCTCCTATATTTATGATAAAGTCTACATTGCCCTTTTTCTAGTTCTTTGGACATACATTCTCACTCTCATTTCCATCAACTCTTATATCTAACCCAGACCACAGTAATAGCTTGTTGTTTGTTGTTGTTATGTGCTGTGGACTCAGATTCGACTCATAGTGACCCCTCCTTGGGTTTCCAAGGCAGTATCACTATGGAAGTAGATTGGCCAACCTTCCTTCTGAGGAGTGGCTGGTGGGTTTGAACCGCCAGCCTTCTGGTTAGCTAGTCAAGAGCCTTAGGCACTATGCTACCAGAGCTCCCCTGCAACAGCTTGGGTCACAGTATCTCCATACTTGTACCTGCCAATCCATTCTTTACCCAGAGATATTGAAATAAAACATATCATGCTACTTGCTCACACTAAACCCTTCAATAGCTTTCTACACTGGCCCTTTAGTTCTTGGGACATATCACCTCACTACCTTCACATATGCTGTTCCTTTGGTCTGGAATGTTGTTCTGTGTTATTGTCAACTTACCCTTCAAGTCTCAGCTTCAATGTCACACTTCTTGAAAAATCGCTTCCCTGATAACTTAGCCAAGATTAGGTCCTACTATACCCTTACTAAAGCTCTGGTAGCATAGTGCCTAAGGCACTTGACTGCTAACCAGAAGGCTGGTGGGTTTGAAGATGGGGCAATCTACTTCCGTAGTGATACTGCCTCGGAAACCCAAGGAGGGGTCGCTATGAGTCAGGTCCAGCTCAACAGCATGTAACAACAACTACATACCCTTACCGGGGGCTCTGGTAGCGTAGTGCTAACCAGAAGGCTGGCGGTTCAAACCCACCAGCCACTCCTTGGAAGGAAGATGGGGCAATCTACTTCTGTAGTGATACTGCCTCAGAAACCCAAGGAGGGGTTGCTGTGAGTCGGGTCCGACTCGACAGCACATAACAACAACATACCCTTACCAGCGTTCTACAGTTTTCTTTCATAGCACTAAAAAAATAATTTGTAACTATGCATTTGTGCAATTCTTTGGTTAATGTCTGTTTAACTAGAGGCATTATCTGTTCTGCTAATTAATGCATCATCACACAGTGCCATAGCCAAGTGGACAGACAACACCTAAAGGATATCCTCTTCTCCAATAAATATATGATAAATGAGAACTCAAGAGTCTTGGCTCTATAACAGCTATGTAATACAGAAAGATGCACCATGTCTTTTAACTACTCTCCCTCAGTTGACCTTTAAACAAAATACTCACAAAAGTCAAAGTGCTGGACATTGAAAGTAATTCAAGTATAAAGAAGACAATATAACAACTCTCTGGAGAGCTTGTCTTTTACTTCTTTTCTTCTTGCATAGTTCCTGAACAGACTTAGGCACATGGTAAATACTTAAAACACTTAGTGATGACTACATGACAATATATAATCAAACACTAGAATTAATTATTATAGAAATTCTAAATAATGTGATTCACTGAGAATTAGAAGCATTGTAAGTTTTAAGAAACTAATCATCTACCTAGACAGGGTGAAGACCAACTCTTGAGGATCTGGCCAACCTATGTTATGAGTCCTCTCCTAAGAGGTCCCCAGCAATGTTTATCTCTGTATTCATGATACACTACTTAGCCTCACACATTTCTTTAATCCACTTGCCAAAATTCTACATAAAAGTATCTTCAATGTGTGTTTCTATGCTTAATTATCCTAACATACCTCTAATATACCTCTTTATTGGCCATAAATGACCTAAAACTCTAAAGCAAACTCACTGCCGTAGAGTCGTTTCTGACTCATAAGGACCCCTCTTTGGGTTTCTGAGGTGGTATCTCTATGGAAGTAGACTGCTCAATCTTCCTTCCAAATAAATGACCTAAGTTTAAAAAAAAAAAAAATCATAAAATATTCATTAGACTACCTGTTGCACCAATGAAAATCCGAACACACTATTTTGCATACGACATTCATCTAAGTCCACAGCACTCGAGAACCTAAAAAGGGAAATTCTAGAATTTAATACTGTATTTTCTAAAGGACAAATTCAACTACATTAGCCATTATTTTCCAGGCACTGAACTTTACATGAATTTTTTTCCAATCTTCACAATAATTCTGAATGCTAAAGAAGGTGAAGATGAGTTAGGGTAACTTAACTTCAACTACACACAGCTAACAATACAAGTGTTTGGTTTCTTAAGATACTGTTAACTAGACCACACTACAGAACCATAAAATGCCTAATGAACCTACAGTTTTACAAAACTTGAAGAACTCTGTTAAAATAACAGAAACTTGCTAGGAAGCACAGAATTTTTAAGGTAACATGTTCCAATTCAAAAAGTCTTACTGAAACTTTCAATTAAAAAAAAAAAACTTTCTAATACTTACTTTCTAAAAATAGACTGCTTCAGAGGTAAATTATTCTGTTTTGGTTTAAAAAAAATGTGGAGGGTCAGCAAAAAAAGGGGAAGGCCCTCAACGAGATGGACCGACACAGTGGCTGTAAGGATGGGTTCAGGAATAGCAAGGATTCTGAGGCTGGTGCAGGAACTGGCAGTGTTTGGTTCTGTGATACATATGGTCACTATGAGTCACAGTTGACTTGAGGTCCACTAAGCGGCACTTAAGAACATTGTCAGTAGTACCATACCCTAAGAAAAAGAAAACTGCCAGCTCCCTATCTACTTAGTCTACAAAGATTTTGAGCTTTCATTAGAAGAAAATTAGATTTGAGAAAAACAACAAGAGTATGGATTAAAAAAATGTTTTCAACATTGTTTTTGCTTCTTCTAGTATGACAAAATACAACGGAATAACAGGAGTAGTGTTATCTAAAGCTAAATGATGTCAGGTTTTTAAACAATAAGTTGTAATGGTTGCAACCTTTACAATTATTTCAAACTGTATGAATGTTACATTATCAAACCTTGGGAAAAACATCCTCTTGTATGAAATGATTATCTGAGATAAAGTAATGATATCCAAAATAAATCACATATATTGTGTATTAAAACTTTCCCAAAGACCATTTCATCCTATGTGGTACTAACTCTTTGCATTTACACAATTCCATCAATGTAAACATTCTACACTTGTTAAGCAGACTTCATGGTAATACTAACTCATAAAAATCTTAAATATTAACCAAATCTCAAAAGCATCAGTATTATTTTAAAATAACGATACTGAACTCTGAAGAGATAAATCTTATGTGCCCCTAAAAAACTGAATTACAGAAATTAAGAGATAATGGGCTCAATAACAACAAAAAAAGTAAAATTTAGGAAATGGAAACAAACTAATGGGGATGGCTTTCTGTTCTCATAGTTGCAAAGACTCCAGGAGAATTTTCTGGACATTCTTCATAGAAAAACCAATTTTGGGTTTTTTTAAAAAAGCCTCTCTTCCCCCTTCCATTTTTAAATATAGTCCCCTTCCCAATGGTTTACATTATAAATAAAATGGATTTATGCCATTTTCACGAACGGCATGTTCCAAGATTTAAGATTTCTATGTTTTTTATATTCAAGTTTTATATCCAAGAACAGAACTTTAATAATTCATAGACCACAAACAGGAGCTCTGGTAGCATAGTGGCTAAAGCACTTGACTGCTAACCAGAAGGCTGGTGGTTCAAACCCACCAGCCACTCCTCGGAAGGAAAGTTGAGCAATCCTACTTCCGTAGTGATACTGCCTTGGAAACCCAAGGAGGGGTCACTATGAGTCGGGGCCGACTCGACGGCAAACAACAACAACAACAACAACAACAAGACCACAAACACACCCTGTGTTAAGCTCTTCCTTAAAATACCAACGTTCACACTCTAGGGATCCCTAATGGGTGTAACATAAACCACACTACAGGATCTTTAAGCTGGGCACAGATGGTAAGTGCGCTCCATTCTCTCCCATGAGACGTCCACACCTAAATCTCCTGAACATATTTTCCCGGGTCTAGGGGTTGCAGGGTGGGACAAACACAACTGTCATCAATGAGGTGGTAGCTGTAAAATCTAAGTAACAAAGCAAGCGTTAAAGGACATACAACTAACTAGGAGACGGGGATTAAACGCAGCCTCTCCAATATCACTTTAACTAGCCTAACCCGTTGCAAACTTTTGAGATTAAGTTACATTCCTCTGCAATTCCAACCCTGACAGATGAATTCAGAGATGCCAGAAGCGATGCGCGTTCATTCCCGCCACCTCACCCAGGGAGAGCTGCAGCCACATCCCGCGGTCAGCGAGGACCAGTAGTAAGGAAGGGAGGAAGGGCTGCAGGGAGAGGGCCGGCGAGCTCACCTTTTCCAGCTCGTCGTGGAGCTCCGCCAGGCTGGGCCGAAGCAGCTTCTCGCCCAGCTGCGCAGCCGTATGCCGGTAGTGGTCGATCCTTGGCACGGCGTCCATGGTGTTGTGGCCGAAGGTGCGCAGGTAGTAAGTGTTGGTGTGAGTGTCATAGTAGTAGTGGTGGTGGTGCCCACTGCCACTGCCGCTGCCGCCGCCACCGCCGCCTCCGCCCGAGTGCAGGCTGCTGCCCTCACTCAGCACCGTGTCCCCGCCGTTCTGGAAGCTCACGTTGGGTCCGTCACCTAAGACCCCCGCCGCATCCGACAGGCTCTCATCTGCCGAGGAGGAGGCAGCCGGATCTACGAAGTTCACACGGAAGCGACCCTTGGCTTCCTCGCTGCCCTTAGTCGGCCCGCTCCCGCCACTGGCTTTTTCGGATGCGAGGGTCTCCTTGGCACCCGCCTCGGCAGCCTCTGCCGCTGCCGCAGCCGCCCGCCCAACACTCTCAGAGACTAGGTCCACCTGGAAGCGGCTCTGGCTCGGGGTGGGCCCCAAAGGTCTTCCCAGTCCGTCCCCGGCCGCCGCGACGCCCTCACCAAGGACCCTACCGCCGCCCCGGCTCGCAATCGCAGCATCCTCCGGTGCCGAAGGCACGGCCGTGCCGGGCAGGTCGACCCCGGCAGTGGCTAGCGCGGCGGCTGGAGGCGTCTCCCCGGGCCTTGCCGGTCTCGGGGCTCCAGCGGAGGGCGCCGTGGGCTCCGGCTCCATCGCCGCCGGACCACCTGCGAACCCAAAGAGCCTGGCGGACTTCGCAAGCTACGCGCCCCTGGCTGGCGGTGGCTGCGCCTGCAACGCCAGGCGAGGGAGTCGCCCTCCCCGTCGTTCGCCGGCCGCCGCTAACCCGGGCCGGCTCAAACGCCGCCGGCAGCCGAGTCAGCGCGCGAGTGAAGCGGGAGCGGGGCGGGCCCCGCTGTTTAAAGCCTCCGCGGGGCCGCTGGCTGCAGCTCCCGCTGCAGCACGCGGGAGGCGGGGCCGGAGGCTCCTCCGCCCCTCAGCCCGCCCACCCGAGATCCCGCAATGGCGCGCGGGGGACGCTCCCTTAGAGCCTGGGCCCTCCGAGACTCCTACGCAAGCCCACGAGAGAGTAGCCTGCGTAAGGGTCGCGTCTGGCCAGTCTACGCGGGGCCTTGGGCAGCGCGAGTGGCGTGAGCACCGCGAACAGGGAGAAGGCGCGGCTGCGCACGCCTCTCGGCTGTCGCCGGGAAGATCTCCGCGCCGCTACCTCCCCTTCCGTCCATCTCCTCCCACCCCTCCACCTCCTTCCCCCGCCCCACTCTGCGGCGAAGAGGAGCGCATTCCTCGGCCGCCGTCCTCTCTACCGTCCCTAGGGCCGCGTGTCAGTGGACTGGAACCCCAGGCCACAGGGCTGCAGACGGCACCCGGCCAGGCGGGTTAAGGGGTGTGCAGGCCCAGCCCTGACGCGCACCAGTAGCTGATGCTCTCGCAGTAGCTACCACCACAGCGGTTACTCCTAGGGTTCTCGCTGGCTTTTTTTTTAAAGTTCTGAACTAGCCGCACTTGGGGAAAGCCGACGAAATCTCGCGAGATGCTGCAGGGCGAAAGAGCTACTTCCCCCCAAAGGCGCCTGGTACCCGATGCCGCGATGGAACAGCTTGTGGCCCCTCGTTCTTCAGGTTGATGCTGGGACTTTCCCCCTCTGGTGTGTTGAAGCTTCCGGACTCGCGTAGGAACTAAGCCGACCGAGGAGGCCTGCTCCGAGGGCTGGCCTGCGGCTACTTTCCGCACTCTTTCGTGGCCTGAGCCTAGGGGGAGGCAGGATTTCCTCTGTGCAGCCTTTGAGGCGGTAGATTACCCTGCCGGGCTGAATTAGATTTGCATAATCATACACGTTAATTCCATTCGTGATGTAGTGGGTGTGTCCACACATCCGACGACGCCTTTATTTTAAAAGCTGTGATGTTTGAAGATGGGAGAGTATTGTGATATCTTTTGGTTTCAAAATTATCGTTATTTTGAGGCATTTCCAAAACGATTGGAAGCCCAACGTTCAAAGACTACACACACACAAACAAACTCACTGCCGTCCAGTCAGTCCATTCTGACTCAGTGATCCCCTTTGGGTTTCTGAAGTGGTAAATCTTTACAGAAGTAGATTGCCCAGTCTTCCTTTTAACCAGTGGCTCGTGGGTCTGAACCACCAGATTTATGATTAGGAGTCAAATGCTTTAGGCATTACATCGCGGAACCAAACTCACTGCAGTGCAGTGAGCTCCGACTCAAAGCGACCCCCTTTGGGTTTCCGAGGAGACCACTACGGAAGTAGATTGGCCAATTTTCCTTCCGAGGAGTGGCTAGAGGGTTTGAACCTCCAGCCTTCTGGTTAGCAGTCAAGTGCCTTAGGCACTACGCTATCAGAGCTCCTATGTGTTAAAAATTTTATTTACAGAGGGGGACATCATCCTCAGCTGATCAAAGAGCATGAAGCATGATCAAAGAGCCTGAGTTTGTAAAGTTGTTTGAAACTGTTCAGAATAAAAGCTGTAACCAGGCAATAATTTTTAGAATTACCGTATCCGTGATCTTACTTGACCTTGACAACTTTTCAGCTCATTTTATTATATCTGTTTTAAACATGGGGAAAGAAGGAACAGTTTTGGATCATGACTCCAGTGTTTTTAAAGTACCTTTTGAGCTTTGGGAGGAGCTCTGGTGGCATAGTGGTTAAAGTATTGGGCTATTAACCAAAAGGTCAGCGACTTGAATCCACCAGATGCTGTGGGAGAAAGATGAGGCAGTCTGCTTCCATAAAGATTTACAGTTTGGGGAACCCTATGGAACAGTTCTATTCTATCCTATGTTGTTGTTGTTGTTATTTGCCGTCGAGTCGGCCCCGACTCATAGCGAACCCACCTTGGGTTTCCGAGGCAGTATCACTACAGAAGTAGGATTGCCCAACCTTCCTTCCGAGGAGTGGCTGGTGAGTTTGAACCGCCAGCCTTCTGGTTAGCAGTCAAGTGCCTTAGCCACTATGTTACCAGAGCTCCCATTCTATCCTATAGGGTCTCTTAAGAGTCAGACTCAATTCAATGGCAGTGCGTTTGGTTTTGGTTTTGAGCTTTGGTAATATAAGCAGAAAACCAGAAGAGGCCAGGAAAATCTGTATAATTTTGCATTGCTGCTTTAGTTCATGGGTGTGGTACCTTTCAGTTCCAAAACTAATTCAAGGCTATTGGCATTCAGCATTCATGTATCTGAACAAATGTTGAGCACCTACTATAAGTTGCTTTGTGTTCTGAGGATACAGCAGTTGGCAAAAACAATTATTTCTCATATGGAGCTCATATTCTAGTAAGTGAGAGAGAGAGACATACACTGAGTAGATAAAATACATAGCATTATAGTGATGGGTGCTGTGGAAAGGGGAATAGCATATGTGTGTGAGATGCAAGTGTTGAAATTTTCCCTAGGATAGCCAAGGTAGGCCTAGTTGAGTGAGTGAGTTGAATTTGCAAGGGGAGGGGGAAAAAAAAAAAAACATGGGAGTTTGCCTGACATGTTCATGGAATGGCAGGCAGTCACATGTGGCTGAAGCTGCTTAAGAGATAAGGAAAATCAAAAGAGAAGAAGTTAGAAAGTTTGGAGGGTGTGATGCATGACCTGAAGGTATAGGACCTTGTGGAGAATCAAAAGAGAAGAAGTCAGATAGTTTGGAGGGTGTGATGCAAGACCTGAAGGTGTAGGACCTTGTGGAGAATCAAAAGAGAAGAAGTCAGAAAGTTTGGAGGGTGTGATGCATGACCTGAAGGTATAGGACCTTGTTTGTTATTGGAAGAACTTTGGCTTTTACTCTGAGTGGAATGACAAGTCATTGGAGAGTTTCAACAGAAGAGTGGCTTGATCTGACATACATTTAAGGGATCAGTGGAGCCTACTTGTGAATAGGTTGAAGAGGGAGAATGGTGGAGGCAAAAACAGAAATAGGGAGATGTATTAGGAGGCATTACAACCCATCCGAGGAGCTCTGGTAGCATAGTGCCTAAGGCACTTGACTGCTAACCAGAAGGCTGGCAATTCAAACCCACTAGCCACTCCTCAGAAGGAAGGTTGGGCAATCTACTTCCATAGTGATACTGCCTTGGAAACCCAAGAAGGAGTCGCTATGAGTCGGGTCTGACTCCACGACACATAACAACAACGACAATCATCCAGGAAGAAATTGCATGACTTGGACCACGGTAGTTACAGCGCAAAAAGTGGTTGAATTCTGGGAAGGCAGTAAGATTTACTGATAAATGAAGAGTGAAGAAAGAGAATCCAAGGTTTCTGTTGAGAGCGGCTTAAAGAATGGTGTTGATGTTTTCTGAAATGAAGGAGGTGGTGAACAGAGCATGTTTGGAGTGATGTTTGGAGGCAATATTGGGAGCTCAGTTTGGGATACTTGTTGGAGGGAAAACATGAATAAATGTTTAGTGAAAATAAATAGTGGTCACTCGTTTAAATGTGTAATTGCAAACTAAGACATTCTGGGACCAAGAGGAACATGGTGCAATGAGAATGCAAAATAGAAGGGCCTGACCTACTCTGAGAGAAAGTGACTTTTCTGCTGAGGTCTAAAGGATGATTAGGACTAAATTGGCATGAAAAGGTGTTCAAACAAGGGGAATAGTATGGGTAAAAGTCTTCATGGAGTGAACATGGCTGACCTAAGGAATTTAAAGCTAGTTTGGTTAAAACAAGGGATTAAGGGACAAAGGTGCTAAAAATGAATCTAAAAGGGAGCACTGGTGGCACAGTGTTTAAGGCATTTGGCTACTAACCAAAAGGTTTATGGTTTGAACCCACCAACTGCTCCGTGGGAGAAAGATGAGGCAGTCTGCTTCTGTAAAGATTTACAGCCTTGAAAACACTATTAGACAGTTCTACTCTGTCGTAACAGATCTGTCCTGGAGGAAGTGCGGCAGAGATGCTCCTTGGAAACAAGGATGGCCAGACTTTGTCTTACCTAGTTTGGTCATGTTGTCAGAGGGGACCATTCCCTGGAGAAGGATGTCATACTTGGTAAGGTGGAGGGTCGATGAAAGAGGGGAAGGCTTTCAACGAGATGGATTGACACAGTGGCTGCAACAGTGGGCTCAAGTATAGCAAGGATCATGGAGCTCGTGCAGGATCAGGCCATGTTTCGTTCTGCTGTGCATGGGGTCGCTATGAGTCGGAAACGACTCAACGGCACCTAACAACAACAACAACAACACTCTGTCGTATGGAGTCACTGTGTGTCAGAATCTACTTGATGGCAGTTGGTTTGGTTTGTTTTACTCTCAAAGCCTTATTAAGTCTTTAATGAGTTTTGAGGGACACAGAGGAGTACATGATCAGACTTATATTTGTAAAGGTCTTTCTACTTATATTGTGGACAGAAGACTGTAGAGGAGAAACAGGAAGCATGGGAAGAAGGACACAGTTTCAGTAATCTACGCATGAGATGATAGTAATAATAGCAGTTAGCATTTGTTGAGCATCACGATAGATGAAGAAAAGATTGAAGTTGTCAAAGATGTGATATCACTTGGTTCTACAATCAATGCGAATGGAAGCAGCAGTCAAGGCATCGAAAGACGTATTACACTGGGCAAATCTGTTGCAAAAGACCTCTTTCAAGTGCCGAAGAGCAAAGATGTCTCCTTGAAGACTAAGATGCACCTAACCCAAGTCATGGTATTTTCAATTGCCTCATATGCATGTGAGAGTTGGACAATGAATAAGGAAGACCAAAGAAGAGTTGATGCTTTTGAGTTGTGGTGTTGGCAAAGAATGCTGAAAGTATCATGGATTGCTATAAGAACTA